GGGTCCAGATTTGAATGTCGTCCAGGCGAGCGGAGATCGATCGATCGCTTGGAACACATCGAACATGGCGAGCAGCCTGTCAGTCGTGAGCGAAGTCTAGCAAAGAAGAATGAATGTTCGAGTCTCTCGAGTCCTTTTATTTGCTTGACTGCGGATGATCATCAGTAGTGGCATGGCACACACTTTGGGCTTGTGAGTCATCATCAGACGAACGTCACCAAGGAGAAGCCACCGCATTCAGCGAGCCTCATGTAAACACTCACAATTGACGCTTCGGGTGTGAGATTGGATGAGCAAGTCAAGGGAAGGCATGTGTGTCTGGAAATAGCATGGCAGAGAAGGTCGTAATTGGCGCGGGAAGCCTCGGTGGCTTTGCGGATGCTGAGGGCTTGCATCTTGCTGCAAGGGACGCAAAGTCCGCTCGTGATAGTGCCGTGCCGTCTTTGAGGCTCAATTGAGTCGCGACACAAGGGCACGAGCAGGCGCCGATCTGAGTACGCGTCGCTTATCTCACTCATGACGAGTAGATTCGCTCCTCTCGACGTGCTTTGGAGTCGCCCTCAGCCACCAGCGAGCAGACCTCGAGGCACAATGGAGGCGGGCGCATGACAGAAGCTCTTCTGTTTGTGTCCTGACCGCGCTCACGGTGCTCATCTAGGTCCACGAGTCTTGCAGACGCACTTTAAAGAAACGATCGCAACCGCGAATATGAATAATCACAATTGAGACGACTCTCCAATGAGCATTGACCTCGCGGCAAATGTGTCGTCCGGGGCAAGCAATCGTGAACGCAATCGGCTCCCACCATAGGGGCACTCACGACCAGCATCACATGCCAACACCCACACGCGCACTCTCGTGTGGGTGCGCGAAGACACCTGAGTATGCATTGCGTCTGCAGCTCGATGGGACAAAAAGTATGAGCGAGGATGGGGGTCGGAATTTAACAAGAAGGATTCGAAGTGGAACGAGTGGTCCGACATGTGCGGCAAGCGAATCTTGAGAGGATAAGAGAAGTGTGGGGCGCAAATCAGCCCGAGAAGGACGGAATGAGGCGGCAAAGCCGACGAAGAGAGTGTGAGAGGGCGCATTGCCCGGTGAAGATGGGACAGATGGAATGACTGCTTAGAATATGAAGATCGGGTCAGCCGCTCGCGCATGCAATGGGCGACAGTCGTTTTGAAAGATGACAGGTATATGCACTGAAGAGCAACATGCGGCCAAAGCCGCGCGGAGTGCGAGGCATGGTCCGTCGAGATTGTTGATATTGTCCGTGTTGTTGGTGACTTGACAGGTAAAGCAACGGCACAGCAGCATGCGCAAGAAGTTTAAGGCTCGCTCGAGGCCGGTGAAAACGGCACAGCGCGCCTCGATGGCGTCCAGCTACTTGACTGAGATTGGTTTTGCGACTAGTCGGAAGCAGTGACTTTAGGTGTCCGCCGCTCTCCCACGCTCTGCACTTCGCGACCTTCGGCCTTGAGCTCGTCGCGCAACAATGCACCGACTCCGTTGCCACTCTCGCCGGGACTCTCTCCGGGACTCGTGCTTTCGCCACCAGATGGTCCGGCAATGCTACCGGTGTTGAATTCTGGCTTGCGCAACGCTGCACGGAAAGCGTCGGCCATTCGCGAAGCTTCGTCAGTGGTAAAGGGACTCTGCTCCTCCGCTGCGCTGCGCTGAGAAGCACCACTAGCTGCCAAGCCACCTGCAAGAGCTCCGGCTCCCACGCCACCAGCCTCGCGCATCGAGTCGTTGCCAGAGTGACCAGCGTCGGTACTTCCTATCACAGACGAGCGCGCGTTGCTACCATCCATCATAGGTGCATCGCTTCCCGCGTGGCTGCCTCCTTGTCGTCTCCTTCTAGCAGCTGCCATCAAGAAGTAGGCTCCGACAAGGACGGCAAGGAGCGCGAGGAAGCCAAAGACGACGATGAGAGCAATGGCGTAGTGCGGCAAGCCGGCTTCACCTTCTCCGGGCGGCAAGACAGGCACGCCATTTGCACGACCGGTGGCGGTCGCTGTGATGATTTGACCATTGTCAAGCGTGGTAGTCGCGGTGCCTTGTAGAGTTTGCGTGCCAGTCTCGCCCATAGAGTTGAGTGACGACACCAGTTGAGAAGTCAAGCTGGCTGCAAATGATGAAGACGCAGCAGCGGCTGAAGACGACGCAGCAGAGGCAGCGCTTCCTGTCAATGTAGCGACAGATGATGCAGCAGCGGAAGCAGAAGCTGCCGCAGAGGCGGATGAGAGGGAGGCTGCGGCAGATGAGGCGGAGGCAGCTGACGATGCAGAGACCCGTTCAGCTGAGATGGCGGTCGGCAGTGCTGTCTGCACCGCAGAGAATGTAGCAAGGCGAGTAGTGCTGCCTGTCAAGCCTTCACCTGCATACGTAACGACAAAGTAGAATGGCCAGGCGATGTTGGTACCGTTGAAGTTGTCGGCGGGCACTCTGCCCTGCCACCAAGCATCGTTTGGTTGGAAGGACAAACGTCCCTGGGCATTCTCGACGCGCGTCCAGCTGGTGGCAACCTGGTCAGAGTCTTCGTGGAAAAGATAGATGTCGACGAACCCGCCATTGTTGGTAAATTCAGGATAATTGCTGTTCCAGATCAACTGCGAGGGGAGCAAAGTGTAAAAAGTGTAATGAACATCCCCGTCAGCCCTTGTTCAGCTTGCATACCTCGAGCCGCCCACTTCTCTTCTTGATCCCATTGACATAGCTAGCCATCCAGACCTTGTCCACCGTTTGTGTCCAAAGCCCCAAGTCTCGATACTCACTCTGCTCCATTGGCCCTGATTGACTCGCAAGCCCGGCGTGGGATAGCAGCTCAGCTGGTCATTACCAACGAAGCAACGCTCCTCCGCTGCTGTTTGTCGTCGTTGGTGAGAGTCCTCATCGTCGGCTGTCGATCTGGCATCTAGCAGATCATCGTCGCCCGCAATCAGCGCTTCCACAGATCTGGCCTGAGCTACTGCCGCTCTCGCTCTCGGCCGCAGGGGACTCTCTTTGTCCGGATGTGAGGCCAGACTTCTAGCAAGCACCTGTTGCAGCAGTTCAGCATCTTCAGAGCCTTGCGTCTTGGCCAGCCTTCGCAATGATCCGCGGTCTTGATCCAATGCTTTCCTGACCTTCTCCGCTGCCTCGCTGCCACCGTAAAATGGACCCAAGATGATCTCGCGTCTCTCCCCCTCACTTTGCGCTCCTCCTTCCTCGACCGCTGCTTGCAGCTTGTCGGCCGCAATCCGAAGAGGCTGATTTCTCGCACCAACATGAGCTCCATCTCCGTCCTCCTTCAGAGATTCACTCAACTTTCTCCGTGCGACTGGGCTGGGTGTAGGTGCAGGTTGAGGAGCTCTTCCTTGAAGGTATGAAGGCCCAGGCTGCGCGCCTGCCATGACGATCAAGAGTCGGGAGCGATCCCAATGCAAGGGCGCTATGCAGTGCCTGACCGAGTGACTACCTGGAGAGAGATAAGGGGAAGGAGCGTGTGCTCGATGATCGAGCAGCTAAGGACGAAGAAGGTGATATGGACGAGCAGTGCAGTGATGAACGCGGGTTCGAACTTGCTCGCAACGAGATCACCGAATTGAATTTGGCCGTGCGGGAGGGCGAGGGGAGGATGAATGGATGGCTGATAGATAGAGTCAGAGCAGCGCGAGCGATCCAAGCCTACACGTACGCTCACACTGCGGGAGACAAGATCACAAATCTACAGGGCTCTCTCGTCCAAAAAGCGAGCAGCTCGTGCACCCCTACGCAGATGAGCCATGCAAGCAGCGCGTGCACCACCGCATGCTGGATGAGCACGCATATCAGCATGGCGCCCCTGTAAGAGCAGCGGCCTCAACGGCGCCTGGCCCGGTCTCCCGCCGCGGCTGCCTTGCTCGACTGACACTCTTGACTGTTGCAGTGGCTTAGCTGCTGCTGCATGCATGGGCGCACGCACGATTTGTGGCTCGCCACCCCCATTCTGATTCAAGAATTGAATCTGAAGCTTCAATTCAAATCACAGTCACGACGACCGTGCCTTTATGCCGCTTTCTGCATGTAAAAACGTGCATCATATGCGTCAGTCGACGGACCCGCGCGTAAGTGACTATATCTACTACCTGATCAAAGAAACCCCCAACGGTGAATGCGTGATGCTGCCCACGGCGGATCGAGGTGCCGATCTGAAGCCATGCGTCAGTCTGACCTCGTGCCACTTCAGCAGTCTGAGATCACCACGCGATTGAGCACAGCGCAGACGCAAGAAAAGGAATGTACCTACCACAATGCGCGGAGAATTTTTAATAGCTGCGCCGAGGAGCTTCTTGTGGACCTTCTGTAGACCTTTGGCAATTTCGACCTTTGACTTTTAATGTGGGCAGATATATACAAATTTCAAGGCCCTAATCTCAAATCCAACGCGAGCAAGCACTAAACGACGGATACTCAATTGAATCTATCAAATTAAACAAGTTGGATCAAACGGGTTCCCGACTACGCAAAGTACACCTATATAGACGATACGGGTCCTTTAACCCTTCAAAAGGAGTGAGGCAAGGGGAGTCACTTGGCCTGCAGAGAGTCTCGATTCACAAGTCAGGGTCCGTGGAGTGGTGTTCATACGGCGACAGAGCTGATTCGATATCATCTAGACGGATGCGAACATATATATGCGTATGAGACCAGACTTGCCCATTGAACTCTCGACTGACCAACCCGCTTGTCTGAACAGCCGACTGCCATGCGAGCGCAGCCTCTCTCTCACCAGGACTTTGCACCAGCGGAGCCCGAAGAACGCTGGATGAAGATCAGCTTTGACTGAAGGAGAGCATATGGCAGAATATGCAAGCAAGAGTCAGCAGTAGTAGCAGTAATGTAGTGGTGGTACGAGCGAGTCACAGATTCGATACACGTAGATTGCATCCTTTGGGAACCCTGGCTTGTGGTCACACGCATGTACGTACGCTGTCGAGCTCTTGACCAGCACTCAGAGTACTGCTCATTTCTTTGCCTCGCAGTTGCATGTGTATCAAGATGTAGAGTCAAAAGCATCTGCTGAAGAACCATCTCATTGGTCGACGGGACACCGCGATCTGCCTGGAGGGCGGAGCAAAGGCGGCTTGCATGGCAATTGCCAAATAGCCCGAGCATGCGACGCCAGCTGGCCGGTTCAGACTACGAAAATTCGTGATTGCACACTCACGACTATCAAATATGATCTTGACGGACGGTGAATATGGTGAAGGCGTTTGCGTGAAGGTCCAGTCAGTCAAAAGTCACGAGTCACGAGTGTGAGTCGGTGTTTGCTGGACCCTGAGCTGCTTGCTGCATGTGCTGGATGTGATGCGTCGCCGCTGCATGCTCGCATGGCGTACGCACCAAGCGCGAGCACATCGCCTGCATGCATGCACTCGCCTGCGCGTTGTAGATCCGCTGCGTCATTCACTCGTGACTCATGACTGCTGATTCACGATTCGCAGGTTGATGCTAGCGCACATGACGAGAGGCGCTCGGTCAATCATCCATCCATCCATCCAGTCAAAGTGGTGAGAGTAGGATCCCATCCCGAACGCGGCACGCATGCATGCATGCTTGCAGTCACGAGTCTGAGGTTCTACGGAAAGATATGACGCACTCTGCGCTCCGCAGACGCGACGACGCCATGCATGCAAGATGGTTGTTATTGTTGTGGCTGCTGCTGCTGCTTGCTTGCTTGTGCCTGTTTTTGGATCCGTCAAGAACGTAAATGCACCCGGCGGAAGGGCAACGTGCTCGGCTGTTTGCTGCCCATTCGAACGTCGACATTCTTGATTCCCTATCAAGCACAACGCCGAGCCGCTGGAGCGGTAATTGTTCGCACGCGAGCTACCGGTACTTGAAAACTTGAGGTAATGAGATTTGGCAGACATCGGAATGCTGAGCCTGGCTTGCGAACGACTTCACGCCTGATGGGCTTATTGGGACCGTGTAGGGCCAAGTGCTCGCTCCGCTACAGCTGCGCTCTTCGAGTATGACGAAGCAAATTTGCCCCGTGGAGGACTACAATTCCAGCTCTCTCCTTTGGGGTGATCGTCCAGCGATAGAGTGCGAAACGAGGAAGCGACGCTCATGCGCTTGCCTCTTTTGACATCCAATTCATCCACCACGATGTTGAGTGTCTTGCCTGGCTGAGCGTCGTCCTCTTGAGACACCTTCTCGTGGGCATCGCTGCTGCTGCTGCTGTGAGGTCTGGAGGCGAGCTGCAGCAATTTCGTTGGTACGAATCTCGAGTGGCTACAAGTTGGAGATTCATGAGCGCCTTTGCATTTCGCAGCGCGACGGCCGCCTAGCTGAAAGATGTCGGAAAGCATAGAGATCACAAAGGCTGAGCAGGCGGTGAGTCAGTGAGAAGAAAATGATCTGCGTCGAGTGAATGTATGAGGATAGGAAGAGATAAGAACAAAAGGTGGCGAAGCAAGAGTCCCTGATTGTTGCTGAGAAGCGAGCGCGCTGTATAAAGTAGGCCAAGCATGAGACCATCTCCACTCTCACCATCATTCTGACCTAGTCGACGTTAAGCAGCCGCTCAATCTACAATGCGCAGATCTTGCCCATGAAAGAACGGCACGGCCTTGTGAAGAGTAGCTGGGCCTTCCCCAAAGTGAAGCTGCAACGGCGTAGTCGTGAACAGCTTTGCCCAAATCGAATCGCCTGATATGGGCAGGCAAGATCCCACTTGTCGCATCTGAAACAGCCGAATAGGCGGGCTACCAAGATCAGCAAGCTACGTCATTTCAGAGGCATGCAACCGTAGCAAGAGTAATGACGAATACATGGGGACTTTTTTTCCGAGCAAGAGCATGCCCCTGTCTGTGGGAGATGTGATGTAGGAGGGACAAACGCCTGCCATGGCCATGCGACCTTCTCAAGTGTGTATCCATAGCGCGTCGCGCCCTCGTCGGAAGTAAACAGCCCACGATTGGGACGTGCTGCTCATCTGCGCTCGTCTTGCATGTGAACTAATCATCCTTCATCGCTTTGACAACCGTTGGGCAACGAGGGGTGGGGTTGCGCGGAAGCAAACGAAAAAGTTCCCGCGCGTGCGACGCGTACGCACGCGACTTTCCGCATTTGCTCGTCCGTGCGACCCCCGGCCTTGCCGAGAGACGTGCGAATGGGAAACGACGGTGCCCGGGATCTGCTTCCGGCGATGCCTCCGTACCACAAGGACGTTCGAGGTAGTGGGGCGGATTCAGCATAGCATTCCGGAACCGACTCTGCTGTCCTCTGTAGGCAGTCAGGCACCACGGCGCAGAGCGCGGCCCCCCACCGATTCTCACAACAGGCAATGTGAGGCGCCAAAGCTTGTGCGAGACTTGGCATGGAATGAGATAGAGATTGAGGCTGCTGGGAAGCCGGAGACAAAGGGCTTAAGGGTAAGAGCGATAAGGCGTGTGCTTGGGGGAGAAAAACATGGCGGTATCGAAAGTAGTATAGGGCTTTGGTGGAAGAAGAAGGCAATGCCCGAAGAGCAATATGGGAGAGGCCGCCAACAATGGACCGGCGTGATGGAAGGGTTGGATGATGGCAGGGTATATGCCATCACGCCGGGGGTAGCGCGACTGCCGCGTCCGCTGCTACGGGCAGACGTGGTAAGGCGAGAGGCCGTAGCTAGGTGCGCGCTTTCGAAGCCATAGTGAGGGGGAGGTCTGTGCTGATGTGTTGAGTGAGGATTACGATGGAAGAACGAGTGTGTGTGTGCTGGTCATGTGCCAGCTTCCCAGATCTTGAGCAGTTTACTCGTCGCCGAGTTGCCATGGCAGATGAGGGCGAACGGGTGGGGTGGCCGCGCCAGACATGCATCGGGGATTAGCTGAGGTCTTGCGGTGAGCTCGCTCAATAAGATGCAGGTGCCGAGGTGCCTGTTGCGGCCGGGTATCTGGCAGAAGGTGCGGGTGCATGCGCGAGTTCGTGTGGAGGGAATTTAGAGCGCGCCATCGAGTACGGTTCGGACATCGTAGACGTCGCTCAGATCGGCTAGGAAGGGGCAGAGGTCCGTCAATTCTGTGTCGTGTGGATCATTGAACCAGCTGGAGATGGGTACCGCGTTCTTTGGATGGAAGATATAAGACGCGGGAGAGTTGTCTATGATAATCGATTCTCCGATATCTCTTCCCAATTGGCTCAAGTCCTTGACGTAATTGCCTTTGTGGTTGTAGCACGATTCTCTGAACAGCCGATGTCGTACCACTCGGTGAATGTCTAAAATGTCAAGCACCGGATCGGCGTACTTGGCCAATGAAGCCGTGAAGACGACGACTTCGTAAATTTCCCCCATGCGCCGCATGAACTCGTCAACACCTGGTCGCTTGATGACGTAGACGCTGTGTACTGTGCCCTCGATTTCAACAGGAACGATGAAGTCTGCGTTTGGTATCATCTTTGAGTGGATTCCAGAGATGACTTCAGTGGGACACATTTAGGCCAAGCACAACCACGTCTTCAACTCACTTTGAAGCTGCTGTGTACGAGAGTTTCATCGAGATCGAGTACCAGGCATTTGCGCCCGTGATCCTCGGTGATGATGGGTCCAAGCAACGGGCACTCGTTGCCGTGCTAAAAGCCAAATGCGGAGTCACACCAACGTTAACATTTAACTGATCAAGAATCTCCTCCACGTCCACTCACCTCGTCACGGGGTATGCCAACACCTCCTTGCATGATGAGTCTTTGCTCTTCATTGTGTTCCTCATCTTCGTCATACTCTGCCATCTCATCCTCATCCTCCTCTTCCTCCTCCTCATCGCTGTCGCCTTCCCGTTGGACCGCTCCTCGCTTCGAAGGTGTAGGAGTTGCCGAAGCTGCGTCGTCACCTTCGCGGTGAACGAAAGTGGAACCGGGAGGTACTACGGCGCCAGACATGACATCGCCCGTCTCTTCGCGCGGGAGCTTTGTGCCACCGCCAGGAGCTGCCGTGCCGACCGAACCGCGCTCAAAAGAGCCTCTTCTCGAGCTCGTCCGTGAGGAGCCAGGCTTGCCCAGAGCAGCCTGAGGAGACAGCTTGCTGGTAGCGTCCGCAGTCTTCGCCTTGCTTTTGGCGCTCTTGCCCGTCGCATCACCTTTGACGCCGCCTGCAGCTTCTCTGGTCCGGCTGGAACCAGAAGGGTCTCGCTCTGCGGCAACCACATCTGCAGCACCGCTACTGCAAGTGAGGATAGCAATTAACCGACCTAGACCGGACTTCTTCTTTGGTGGCGTATCCTTGGCTTTCGACTTGCCCTTTGTATCATTCTGGGCGACAGCGGATGCTGTAGGTTTAGGCTTAGCTGGGGTCTTGACGTCACTGCCTGCTTGTGTGTTTTCCTTTTGCTCGACAACTTTGCCTGGCACAATGCTCTGCGCTGCACCGGTCAGATCTTGTTTCTCGCTGGGGATGGGCACAGGTGCAGAATCCTTGGCCGCTGCACCCGCGCCTGCTGCACTGCTGAGCGGATCACTTGCTTGTTGGACATGTCCAGTGGTGCTACTGACGAGCGTCGAAGAGGCTTGATGCGAATGACTGACTTCTTCAGCCTGCGCACCTGCTGAGGAAGATGCTGCTTCAGCAGCAGGGACGCCTTCGGCGGTATGTCCCGCGTTCGTCTCCTCCTCTGCTCCCTCTGCAGGGCCTGTACCCGCAGTAGCGTCAGTCTGCTCTCCACCCTCTCCTTCTGCGCGCTTCTTCTTCTTTTTCTTGCCTCCAGCAGCTCCCTGGGTCTTGGAGACTTTGGTGGGCCTAGCTGGTCCAGCTCTCACAGCTCCTGTCGGTGCTTGTCCAGGCTGGACCTGCGTGATGACAGAGGCCAAAGGATCTCCGTTGCCTTTGCCGGATTTGGAGGCACCGGGTTCAGGAACAGACGTGATGGGATTGGAAGACATTGTGAGCCCTAAGAGACTGGGTATAGAGGCGTCTGTCTAGATTGCAGAGGAGCAGGGATCGACGTGTGCAGACTAGCTTCGACTCCTAAGCGTGTCAAGTGAAACGAGTGTGGGGCGGTCGATTGAGTTGCAGTCGGAATGCGCAGCGATTGCAGATTCTGCTGCTGATGAAGAACAGCGTGGACTGAGGCGAGTGGAGGCGGGGCGTTGAAGCGTGGGAGATGGGACGACGAAAATCAGGGCGAAGAGAGAGGGGAGGAAAAGGAGGACGGCAACTAGGCAGCGCCGGAGCTCGATTGCTGACAGCTAACGGCTTCGGTAAAGGAATGGATGCTGATTCGAGTTCGCGGAGATACGTACGATCTTCGTGACTCGGAGTACCGTTGCCAAGCCAAGAGATGATCGTAAAATCAGCAAAGTTGCCAGTCAAGAGTCAGAGTCGTGAATGCTATCTGAGAAGAGTGATGTCAGATCGAACAAGCAACCAGCAAGTACGATTCACGCTTACTCGAGACTTCACGGGCTGTTTGCGCGGTTGCGTGCGCCAGAAGTCGTCGCGACACCCTGGGCTGTATGCTCGATCGACCGACCGCCTTTGCGCTGCGCTCCTCTTCTGCCGTTGATGCTCCTCTACAGACGACATGGCGCGGCTTGCCATGCATCACGATCGATGTACGCGACCGTTGAGCGGGCGTCAGCGAAGCCAACACCACGCACGCACGCACGCACGCACGCACGCACGGTCGCCGCGTCCTACGGTGCATGGCTGCAGCGAGCCTGCTGACCCGCCCGTATTTGGACATCGGCGGTGGGGCGGGGAAGAGTAGGGCGCGAGTCAAGTCTTGATGTGCGCCCACTCAGACTGAGAGCAGCCATGCATTGACCGTCGGCGGCTGCATGTCACCGCATGATGCTGGGGGGGGGCGCGATGCGAGACCGAGCGACCGAAGCATCGCCTGCATCTCGTTTGCTGCTGGGCAGCCTCAATCCGCGCGTCTGCAGGCCACCCACCGTTCACGGGCGCTCAACACGAGAATTCCGGACAACAAAAAAACAGTAACAGAAGACTTGGAGTTCATCTGCACCATGCAGCAATCTGTCCGTCGCGCCCCAGCATGCGACGAGCAAGCAGCAGACGAGTCAAAGTTAGGCCGCTTGAAGGATGCTGGACGCTAAGCCAAGCCCCGCTTTGTGCGCTACAGCTCTCTGTGGCTGCATGGCTCACGCCGCTCACGCGAACTCGTGACTGCAAGTGCGACAAGTACCCTCCCCGCGTCGGTGCGCCCTTGTCGCCTGTGCGCGCGCCTCCAAACAAAAACAGACTGAAAGCTGTTCACTATCTTCTCGTACGAATCCTTCATGTCAGTGACATCACGTGAGATTGCGACTCCCCCGCTTTCTATTTGAATCTTGAATCATCAATTCGAAAGCGAGTATTGAATACAAAAACAAGAGTCAGTCTTATTGAGTCGTCCCTCCGAGCCGAGCAACATAAAGTTCGCAAAATGACCCTCCACGGCGCGATGCAAAGTTCGCAAAATAGGCCTCCCCGTCGCGACTTTCGCCGCAATAACAACTTTGAGACTTGATGCCGAAGGCCACAATCTCGACGTCGACTGCAGGTCCCCAGGCAAAGCAAATCGTACTGCGATCTCTACGCTGGACCGCTCAAGTCAAGACTGCTTCATTGAAATCCTACCATTCTAGAGTAGTCTGCGTCAAGCGCCGCCGGAGCACAGGACCACCATGCTGGGTCTCAAGGCGACAATGTCGGTGAGTTTGAGCACACCTAGACCTCTCAGCTCGGTCCGCTGCCAAGAAAGCAGCTTCATGAGCTCACCTTTGAAGCATCACGCTGCTTGCTATCGCAGGTCATCGACAATACAGGAGCATTGGTGGCGGAATGTGTCAACGTCTTGAGGAATCCTTCCAGTAGGGGCTTGGCGCGAGTCGGTGAGTGGGCAGAAGCTCTTCGCAAGTTCGTCGTCAGGGAAGAAAAGCATCCATGAAATCTTTCCGCGCAACTTTTGCGGTCATGCATGGGCTTGTGCTCGATGTATGCGGGCGAGAGATGGGATCAGTGGGGCTCAGCTTTCGACTCGAAGGCCCCAGGACAGACACACAGCCGGGGGGCAAGACTGGGCTGCATCATCGACCTACTTGTTCAACTTCGAGCGCTATGACCGACGATCAAGACCACAAATCCCCTTGCTGACGCTTCTCCCACTTCGCTCAACCCCGCCCTCAGGCGACGAGATCGTAGTGGTCATTCAAAAGGCGAAGCCGATAGCGCACACCACTGGCAACGTTTCCGCCGCAGCCTTGGCAGCCCGAGTGCGTAGAGGAGACGTGCGACGGGCAGTAGTGGTCCGCACAAAGAAGGAGATTCAAAGGGCAGATGGGAGAGTGGTCAGGTTCGACGACAATGCTTGCGTCCTTTTGAACAACAAGAAGGAGCCAGCGGGAACGAGGATCAATGGAGCAGTCAGTCAGGAACTCAGATATCACGGGTGGAGCAAGATTCTCTCTCTGGCACCCAAGGTCGTCTGATCTAGCGATCACATGCGCAGATAATGCTCGAGTCAGCATGTACACACTCCGACCACCCACCCCGGCGAGTAATGCGATGCGGTATCGGAGCAATTGAGATTGGTGGTGGATTTGGTCCACCACGCGGACATCGGCACCAGACGGGGTGACACAAGGCGTGTAAGTTGACAGCTTTAAACTGTGACCTTCGTCAAGCGCCCCAACGACGAGGCCCGCTAAGGGGCGAAGTGTTAGAGCCTGTCTTCTGAGGGTTCGAAAACGCACCGCGACCGCGAGCGGGAGTGGGCGCTGTACTTGGCGAAGCAGCTTCAGCGCGCTGCATTGCAGCACGAGCAGGATGCACATTGGCTTGTGCATGTGCACGAGAAGGCTGGCTCTCCATAGGCGCACTTTGAGCAAAAGCCTTTTTACGTTGACCTAAAGGCGAAAGATTCGCTCCAGTGGATGAGAACGCCGGCGGAGGAGCCAGCTGCTCAACCTCGACTGAGCGGCCAGGATTTTTTTTTGCTTCAGCCTGCTGGAGCGCAAGGCGAGCAGGATGAATACCGCTCTGCGGTTTGGGTGTCGCTGTATCCTTGCTGGAGCCATTTCCTTCAGGCTGCTGAATGCGAGCAGGACGGTCCTCGCTGGCAGCATATCGGCTGTCGGCCGAGCGTCGTCCCCTCTCAGGAGATTCAGAGACAACGTGACTGGAAGAGGCAGAAGTCGACGTCAACGCAGGAAGAGAGTTGAGTTCGTTCAACGGCGAATCGCGAGCGTAACGACTGTCTGCAGTGCTTCGACCGCGTGCAGGCGAGGGCAAAGGTGAAGGCGACGGCGACGGCGAGGCTGCAGAGACCATGCCGGAGAAGACCGGATCGGTCATTGTCAAATTTGACAAGTCTTCCATCATTTGCACATCTGCACCGACTGCTGCAACGTGACGAACAAAATCAACAAAGACAAAAGAAGGTCAATCGGACATCATGTCGTCTTTTAGATCGACAAGCTGCCCACCTGTCTCTGTCATTGATGCTTTCGTTTGCACTTGCGCTTGCCATTGCTCCAAGAGCTGCGCAGCGGCTATCGTGCAAGATGCTGGCGAAAGTGCTGTCGAGCCGAGAACGTCCTTGACGGACAACGTGCGAAGGCCCTCAGCCTCTGCTCGAGCTCGGCAATTTACATCGCTCGAGAAGAGCCATGCAATGACCTTGCGAAGCTCTTGCAGATACTTAGTAAATTGTATTATGTGGTCGTCGGCAGACTATGAAGATGGCAGAAACAGCTTGAGCATTCTGGTAGCGGAAACGTAAGTTCACAGTGGATCGACTCACCAGTACAGCTGGCTGTGCAGCAAGTTCAAATTCGCGCTGCTCTGAGCTTGTCTGGACGATCAAAGCCCACGCAGCTTGCGGAATCACCTGTTCCTGATGTGGAACAGGGAAGTAGGTCATGTGCTTCTGCACATGCACCATACCCAAGATCCATCGCGAGGCTTGTTGAGCGCGAGGACTCGCGGTCTTGTTGCTTTTCTTGATGCCGTCTAACTCGCGGAGAACGACAGATGGCACTACGAGCAAGATTGGCGCAGGCCGAGCGGTAGGAGTGGAAAGAGCGTTGACATTGGCAGCCAGCACAGCTTTGTATAGCGCGTCCAACAGAGTCAGCGCATCTAAGAGAGCATTCCTACGGGTCGAGAGGGTTGTGACGTCAGAGGACCTGCATTCACACACGCGAATTCAGACTCACGTATCAATGACGAAGATACTCGGGCCTTCTCTTGATGCTAGCGCAGAAATCAGACCTAGCCCGCTTGGTAAAGTCTTGTCAACATCTTGCTGGTTAGTGAGAACGTCCGTAGTGTCCCCACGGCCAGCGTCGCAGTCCATGAGCTCTTCTTCCTCCCAGACTTCCTCTCCGAGCTCGTTCCTTGAGATCGTGAGCCTCATTGGCCCACTAGAGACGGGAGCCAGCGCGTAGAGATCGGCGTAGGTAGGCATGTTGTGTTTGAGTGATGGTGAGAAGGGGGACTTTGATCGGGTGCTGAGGCCGGTCGAGTTGACGCATAGCGAGAGGATTCAAAGGATGAAGGTTGACAGATCGAGAGGCGTGTTCGGTGCTCTAGCGAGGGTTTAGAGAGACCACTTTCGTGTCTTGTTGGTGGGATATGGGCGGACGAGTAAGAGAGTGATCGACCTCTCCAAAGTCTTTGCTGAAAGAATGCCGCTCAGATGCGAGCGTGCGGCTGCTGAGAGGTGCGCAGAGCTGCTGCTGGCTCTAAGGTCTGCAGCCAGAAGAACGTTTGCGCTGATCGCATAGCCAGCTGCCTTCTTCAGCAGACCGATCGATCTGTAATGCGAGCCTCGAGTATTGCTATTGACGCAGGTGGATCAGCACCGCGCGCAACCGGCTGCGCTACAACGCCCACAGCCTGATCGCTTGATGATAGCAGCGCCTACTTAATCACAGGAACAAATGCTGGTCGCATGTTTGGGTTATCGTTGTCTTGGTCGACTCTGACTTGCTAGCATGAGGCGCGATCGAGTAGGCGAAGAAATCAGAAGTGTACGCTTTGACTCACCTGCCTCAAATCAAAATCACGCATCAAATCGTCCTCACTCGCGCGCGCGGTCAATCAGAAGCTCATCCATGCGCGCAAAACCAATTTACGCGCTAACCTTTTGACTTCAAACGCCGCGGGATAGATGAGGGCGATTTGTGAGTGGTCCGTGCTGTCTCAAGTTTGAGTCAGAGTGTTGGCGCACGTACATGTCATCCACATTTATTATTACTTTTGTGCTTCCTGATTTGTCCGTGACTCTGACTTCTGACTCGGAGACTTTTGACTGTTGTGATCACAACTTCGCATCTCCTAGCTCTATCACCACCTAGTTCGCAGCAGCTCCGCCTGTGTATTTGTAGGTGTACTTTGCACGGTCATCTGTCTCGCCCTGCCGCAACCAAGCATCCGCTGGGTCAAGAGTGGGCTGAGTGCATGTACACATGCCCCATGGAAATCAAGAATCACGAATGCTTTGAGCGCCTTTCCTCGTGTCATAGCAACACTCTCTGATTGAGATCGTAGGGCAAGGCGCGCAACATCTCCAAATCGACGCTTCAAATTGATCTACAATTACAATCGCAGATAGGTCCACGCATCTCGGAAGGATACAAACACTATTAGTACTACTACTATCCTGGCGTCGACCCTGTTGACTCGGATTCAACATAACAGAAGAGAAGGACATCACTTAGCTGCCATATAGCTCAAGCTCGCACAATCACCAGGCTCAAAGAGTCACGAGGTCAGCAAGATTGCAACTCCAAGCCAAATATGGGCTTTATTATCATTCTGACGCACGACTCCACCGGTTGATCCAGCACATATCTTTGCCTCGGGCGAAATCCGCGGGAAAGGCTCGACACAGGCCGCGAGAATCAATCACGATCGAATCACGAATGCGGCTGAGTCACGAGTTGGGGCAGGATTTCAGAAGTGGGGTGTGCCCCGCACAGCAGCCATCGTCATCAAGTGGGTCACACGCAGAAGAGTCGTTGAAACTGCACGCTGGCTACATCACGGGCAACGTACACTACTCTCAAGTCGAGTCAACGTCTTGGATGTGCTTCCGACGACCGCCACAATGATCGGCCATCAGCTGTCTCGGGATGATCAGAGCCAGCTGGCCTCGCTCGATGCGGAAATCCGAGCCGTCTCGGAGCATCTACAGAGGCTCAAAGCGGATCGAGAAGAGTTCATCAAGTCCTGCACATCAGCCTCCACGAGTGCTGCGGGCTCTTCAAAGTTTGGAGATGGAGCGCATCTCAGCGTCACAGATTACTCCAATCACGGAGACTTTGTCTGGTCTGGGGAACTTCTACCCAGAGCTACCAGAACGTGGCCCTCCGTCAAGTCCTTTCGATTCGATCAACAGGCTATATGCAATGCTGCTCTCGACGGACGTGACACCGTCGTCGTCATGCCAACAGGTGAGAGAGAGAGCTGATACGGGCAGGTATTTCTCTGCGTCGTCTCGCTCTGCTGCTGACACTAGCATCACACTACCACTTCAGGCGGCGGCAAAAGCCTTTGCTATCAGGTATGTGCTCAGAGGTCGCCTTTGCAGCGCGCAGCCGTGCTCAGCCTAAATCGTCTGTGCCGCAGTTACCCGCCATCCTCGACCGCGGCATGACACTTGTCATCTCCCCTCTCATATCGCTCTCGTATGACCAATGTTTGCATCTGCGCGAAGCAGGTGTCTCATGCGAAATGATGTCAAGCGCAGTCTCTCGTGAGGAAGCCTCCGAGATCCTCCGTAGAACCAAAGGCGCTCCAAAGGCCGGCGACAAGCAGGAAGATATCAAAGTGCTCTTCGTCACGCCGGAACGCGTGGCAAAGAGCAAGACCCTCATATCCGCCTTGCAAGCTTCGTACGGCGCGAACCGTCTTTCGAGGATTGTCATAGATGAGGTGCGTCCATGACCTCGGCTTTGTGTCGCGATGACCAAGCAGATGAGCTGAGCAAAGGTGCACGATTGCTTGCTCAGGCGCACTGTTGCTCCCAAATGGGTCACGACTTCCGCCCTGGTAAGTGAAGAACAACAAAAGACTCGCATCAGGTCGAGCGCCCTGACCGCGCGAGCTTTTTTGCTCCCTTTCAAAGACTACAAGCAGTTGTCCAAGCTTCGAAAGCTCTGGCCAACAGTGCCTATCATGGCTTTGAGTGCTACTCTGGGCCCGAAAGTGCTGGAGGATGTACGACAAATTTTGGGCTTGGGCCCAATGACGCCGTTCAAAAGCGCGAGACCTGGCGAGACTGTCTACTTCAGCGCGCCTCTACACCGAGCAAACTTGCACTACAGCGTCGTTGCCAAGGATAGCTCAGCGCCTAAAGCTGCACAGCAGGTTGTCGATTGGATCCTCGAAAGGCACGAGGCCCACAGCGGGATCGTCTACTGTCTGAGTCGAAAAGATGGCGAGACAATGTCGAAAACTCTTTCAGAGCTCAGTGGAGGTCGAATCAGAGCTTCGTGGTACCACGCCGATCTGGACGATGCCTCCAAGATGCGGATTCACGAGCGATGGCGCAGTGGAAAAGTACACGTGGTGTGCGCTACCATCGCGTTCGGCATGGGCATCGATTTGGGAAGAGTGCGGTACGTGATTCATGCAAGTCCCAGTAAGTCGCTAGATGGGTACTTGCAAGAGTCAGGGCGCGCCGGCAGGGATGGCAAGGATTCGGATTGCGTGCTTTTCTATCGCCCCCAAGATACGCTTCGCATAGCAGGCTTGGTGACTGGCGACCGCAACGGCATTGAGAAGCGTGAGTCGGGGAACAGGATTGCAGCTTGCTAATCAATCGTTCACAAAAGATTCGAATCGCCAGTCGACAGCATGGTAAATTATGCACAAAGCTACAAGGTGAGGCGGCAGCCTGTGCGATCTGTCGCAAGCTTTGCAGTCTGAGCATTGGCTTCCCATACGCCTTTGTAGTGCCGCAAGGTCCTGTTCGGAAAGTACTTTAGGGACTCCTATGGCACGTCCGATCTCTGCGGTGTCTGCGATAATTGCATACAGCCCCCCGAGGTGGCGGACGTGACAGTCGAAAGCTGGCAGCTGTTGACTGCGCTGGAAGAGTGGGTGACGTGATGCTGCGCCATGCGAGAAGTGACGCAACTGAATGATGTACATCGCTCGATCGCATTTCAGAATGTACGAAGAGGGAGGTCGCCTAACGCTGGCCGACCTTTGCAATGTTGCGCGCGGCCTAGGAAATGGCCAATACACAGTTGTGGAGCGCAAGACCGCTTCCGGAAAGCGCAAAAGAAGAGCATCACAAAGTAAAGGGCGTAGCGGCGTCTTCAGTGTGGAAGACATTGGTGGCAAGGTGTCTCTCAGCAAAGAGGTGAGTGAACATGAACCACACACCTTTCGACTGATCGGAGTGCTTACCATCGCTGTCTCTAGAACACGGAGCGGGTGGCAATGCACCTGTGCTCGAACTTTTGGATGGCGTACGAGTACAACGCGACAGCATACTCCGTCAAGTGATTACAAGATTGCACCATTTTGCTAGCGTGTCCCGAAGAAGCTGACCGGTCTCTCCCACCTGCAGCGTCTATGTGAAGCCCGGACCGCTGGCCTCACGCTTGACACGGCTCGATCTCGAACGTATTCGTGCGGGCGAAGCGGACGCTCGCATCGAGGTTGCTTTGGCCGGCAAGAACTCAGCTTCAAAGCCGCG